GTTGCCTTACGATAAACTGTTGTCCTTATATTTTCGTCTTCCAGCTTCGTCACCTGTACATCGACGAAGGGTAATTGGTTGTTGTCCTCTTCTTTCATAGTGAACTGGATGTCACTATAGATGGAATTCAGCAGTGCCTTGAACTCCTGCACTTTGTTCCTTCTGATGACGACGAACGTGTCGTCGACGTATCTGGCCCAGAACTTCGGTAAAGAGGAGCTGAAGACCAGCCGCTCGAGCCTCTGCAAAACGGTTTCAGCAACAAGGCCAGAAAGAGGCGAGTCCATCGGTGTCCCCTTCTTTTGTTCGTAAACTCGGCCATTGAACGTGAAGAATGTTTTCAGACACAGTCCCACGAGCTCAATGATATCCGCTTGCTTGGGTTTTTGGTCGGTTTCATCATATATCTCTTGGAGAAGACCGTCAGTCTTGTCGATGGCCAGACTGGGTGGAATAGATTCAAACGAGGAGACCACAACAAACGACACCATCACCTCCTCAGCCTCCACTTCCAAGTGTTGGATGCGGGCTTGATGTGGTTGGATGTGGTTTCTATTGCCTACCAGAGGTGCACGAACCAGTAGCGCCCTTACACCCCATCGTATCTCTACGTGGCACTCTAACTTTTGGTTTGTCAAAGTGGCTGCGCCAGCGGCTTTGCTTCCTTATCAAGGATTCAGTGTAGACGGTGAAGTCTGCTAAGGCATTTTTGACCCGCAGACAACACTTGGAAGTGGAGGCTGACCCATGGCTGCCGCCATTATTAACAGCAGCATCCTGGTCCTATCTTTCACATACTTTCCTCCAAGAGCGACAGTTTTTCAGCTAAAAACCACCAATGACATTCTATTTTGGATTCTGAACCATGCTTTAGGAGTTTTTTCACTGTCTACTCTTCTTGTGCTGGATCGTGTTAACTGACATCATAACATGTGAGTGTATTACTTGAAACAAGCGAGTAGTCGCCTACAATTTGTGTCAACGACTTCTTTGAAATGTTCGGCTGTGCCAATAAATTTCTTAAATACTATGTATCAAGAGGGAGTTCAAAGGCGTTTGCCTATATTTCCTTTAATACACTTGACTTGACTTATTCCAATGAAGACAAAGGAGACTCGAATAGCCACGGTTAGAGCGTTAACTTCTAATCAGCAGGTCGCGAGTTTGAGCTTTGGAGAGTGCATTACCTAAAATTGGCTATGGTTGGCTGAAATTGTAATTCCCGACTTCCTTGTCCTGGTCGGTAAAGTTTTGCTGCCCATAATGACTATGCTTCTGACAATGTGCACGTTACGGTCTGAAGAGTTATTTGTATATGTCGAGTACGACTGTTGTCTTTCTGATGTGGAATGTACGTCAAAGGCATGTTCCGTAGAATAATCGTAACTAGGAAAATCACATAACGGAAACTTAATCAAATTTATCCCGATCCTAGGAATTTTCTCACAGCAACACATATGAAATTATGCCTTCAGTTTACAATGGCTTGAGTTTAGATATCGGTATATTGTGTTATATAGGTTAAGGTCTTTTTTAACTTTATATCATCACCCCACCTGTCTCTTTTAATGTTTAACTACTGTTGCTGATGGTACACATGACTTATTGTCAATGTAGGGAGTGTCCACTCCAGTTTTTAGATCGTTTCGAAGATTTTAGAGGGTTAATTAAGACTATTGGATGCCATTACATTCGACCACATTCAGTAAAGAAGTATGCAAAGTTGCATAAGTTTTCTTAGTACATTTTTATCAATCTTGAAGTATGACAAAAAGTAGGTCATCATAGAGGTTCTTTTAAGAAACACGCGCAAACAGGTGGATGGTGAAGTGGGTTGCCAGTCGTGTTTACTTGACATAACAGGAACCAATGTGGCCTTTGAAGTCGTGACACTGGACGCGAATCGTGTCTCGACCGATCTTGACATTGATGAAAGGCCAGTTGCGCATATTCTTGAAATCGCGTAGGGAAATCAAGTAGATAGTCGTGTAGAGACCAATTTCGAACTCCACGGAGGCGCCAAATAAGAGGGTGCCCATTGGTTTTTCGCGATTCTTCCATGTAAATCTGAGCGAACGTTTAAATGTTGGCTCGCGGTAATGCTGAAACATGGAAAAGGAAACAGATCAGGACATGCATAGGATTATGTTAAAGGCCAGCCAAGCAGTTATGTTTTGCGTTTTTAAATTAGTATTTCCTGGCCGTCGTTAGTCGAAAAGATATGATATGTGATCTCCAGTGGTTGTTTCTCTAAAAATAATATTGTATAATTGTACATATTTAGGAAGGCGTGGTTCTGCACGTTTTGCTTGGTCAGAAAAGGGGTTAAGTGTGTGGTGGATTGTGACGGTTACTAGCACTCTTGCGGCTAAGGCTTATCCTACCCTATGCAAGGGTAGGGTATGGGATAGTATTCGCTTTAGAAGTTGGGTTACTCTAAGGGCAGTGGTTGGCCAGCTCAGGTTCTTGTTCAGACTTGAGGTTTTTGAGTTGGAAGGGGGGCATTAGGCCTTTAAATGCTTTCGTTAATGTTACGGTTAATTTGAGGTTCCCCTTAAAATCCTACGATGTAAGAGGGAGGGTTTCTTGGTAAGGAACTATCGTGGGGTCCCCACCGAACGGGCGTCTGGTTTTAGGGTATAGAATGGGTGGGGCATATTGGAGGACAAATCAGTTCGCAATTATCAGGTAAATTAAGAGAATTTCGTGAGTAAGTTGTGGGGTGTTCGCTGATCTTGAGCAAGGTCACTAAGGTACATTTTTAACATAATTGTCAACCCCAAGTGGATTAAGGGCGGGCGCGCGATTAATTGGTAGATTTTGTGAAACCTACCCTACTTAAAATGTGTAAGTAACCGGTTACTGTACATGCTGGCCTTCTCAGGAGCCCTCTATAGTTCTCTGCAGGTTTATCATTACCGGCATGACCATGATTGGTGTTGGGGCTGTAGGTAACTAAATATTTCTTAGTGGGACCACATACTCTAGCCTTGCCGATTAAAGTTGCCCTATCGTGTCCTACACAGATCACATGCTTCATCCTGGGAAAAATTGTTTTTATTTAAATGCTCTGCTTCCTAACAAACAGCCGACCAGAAATACCGATAAAGAGTTATCTTCTATGCGATCAATCCTATGTGCTGATTATCACAAACCCTGCACCTCGTAAGAATTGCCTCTTATACTAAAAGAGGGATTTACCCTCGAAAACTGATAGACAGGGTTTTTAAAATGAATGCAGTCCAATTGTAAAGCCCTAGGTCAGTCAGTATCAGTCAGTATATTTGGAGTAAATGACTGAAGCCCTTAAAAACTCCATTGAAAT